GATTATGAGATCTCACATCAGTTGGAGAAGAAAACAAAGCACTCCTTATAAGAGTGTGGAAACCTCTTCCTAATAATCATGTTTTAAAACCTTGACGGGAAACCCTTAAAGAGAGAGCCCAAATAGAACAATATCTACTAAGGTTTGGGTCATTAACAGAGAAACTCCCACTATAAGCACGTTCATCAATATTTCATAATTAGCCACCCTCTTCCTGCACGAAAATATTTTCTTCTTGACTACCTGCACAATCTTGCTTACATTCTGAAGATGCAACATGATATCAAGCAACGATTATGCACGATACCGAGCCATCAAAGTTTCTTTAAGATGTAGGTGCAATTGACCTGTTTATGAGACTCATGCTCTCACCTCTTTGTAACATGCAGGCTGAAAGTGAGGAAAAATTGAGAATCGACGTGGCTGTATTGGATCAACAGTTGACTAATGAAGTAAAGAGGTTGAGAAGTCTTTTCCCAGACTGGGTTGATGTCATTGCTTATTCCAGCTTCATGTCTACTTATACCTTCTGATTCGGCCTGAGTTACTTGCCTCCACAAGACTTATAGCTTATCCGGTTCGGGTTCGGGTTCAGGTTCTACTTGTTGGATGCTTCTTTCTACATAGGAGCAGTTCTTCCACCCCTCCATCCAACCAGGCCCATAGGTTTTAATGTTAAAGATCTTAGTTAGTTTATTTGTACGATAGCTGTGATCTTCTGTTATCCCTAGTCTTATACTAAACTCTCTCTTTTTTTTCCATTTTTTTTTTAAATTTTAAAACTTTTGCCTTATTTTTTTTTTAAGATAATCCTTATAAATAGATTACAAAACAATTAAATAGGTAAAAGCATTTATAAGTAAGGTTTTAAAAATTTTGTTTTCAATTTTACTCGAATTTCTTTAGTTTCGGGCAGAGAGATTTAAACTTTTGATCTTTTAGTCAAAAGTACATATCTTATGTCTGTCGTCTTCAGTAAATTGTATTCTTCTCTCCCCTCCGGGGTTCCTTCTCTCTCTCTTCACTCTTGATTCCGTTCCCCTAATAATGATAACAGTAATTTTTTAATGTCATTTTTAAAAATCAATTAATACAATTTTCTAAAATTTAAAGGTATTATTGAATCAATGAAGAACTAAATTTTCGTAAACAACAACTCAATGGAGGTTTAGGCTTGATTTTATTTTAAAAGAATTCTTTTAAAATGGTAGTAATTGTCACACTTATTTTTTTTTTATTATTGTAATGCTTATGAAATGGACTATAATTAAACAATATTATAGCAAAATTATTTATGAAAAGAATTTTCATTAATTTTTAACACACACACACACACTATATATATAGTAAAAATATTCACAAAATCATTAATTTCAAAATAAAGCTATTCAGAAAATAAGTTTAAACAATTTTGTCCCATTTCACAAACTCCAACAAAAATCTTAGTTCTGATACCTTTTGTATCAATTTCATGTTGTATGCATAATAATTTTTTATAACCATATTTGAAACTATAATTTATTAAATTATTAAAATTATATTATATATATATATATATATATTAAGTTTATTAGTTATTATCTAAGTTTAAGGTCAATTTAATAAAATTGAAATTTTATAGTTAAATAATTTTTTTATTATTATATAAAAGAATTTGTTTTCTTGTTAAATAAAATAACAATTATAATTACTATGAGAAATATACAAAATGGGCCAAGCCCAAGTGAGCCCAAACCAGAAATTGGGTTGCTCTTCAGCCCGCTTTGACTCTTTTAGGGCTTTGTAGGGATTCTCCCTCTCTCCTTATAAACCTAATTCAAGCATTTCTCCTCTCTGTTCACGGCGGAATCCAACTTTTCTTCACAACCCCAAGTTGCAGCCGTCGCCATGGTTCGTCTTCTATCTTCTTGATTTCCCCTACCTTACGATGTCATCTGAGTTTTTCGTTAGCTATTAATCTTCAATTCCGGTTTTTGTTCGTTGTTTCAGGTGAAGTATTCGAGGGAACCAGACAATCCCACCAAGTGTAATGTTCTTTCTCCTCACTTTTTCTTATGGATCTTGTTCGATTCATGTTCGTAACTCTGATTTGATTTGTTTATTGTCTATCGGTTTGTATTTTCATCTTTTCGCCTTGAACTGACACCCTGCTGTTTCTCTTTTCAGCCTGCAAAGCCCGTGGCTCGGACCTCAGAGTCCACTTTAAGGTAGGGTTTATTCCGCTTTGTTGATCTGCATTCTTTCGGTATAACAATCAAATAGAAGTACTATGAACTAGAAATTGAATGGTGTGTTTTTTCATGGGCTCGACTCCCAATTTGATACCTCGCATATAATTTTCTGTTTTGTTTAACATGCTTCGTTCTCTTATTGAGTGTCCTTCAATAGTTTTCTGTATGTAATTGATTGATTTAAGTGATAGTATATTAGGGCGTTTGTTAGTGATGTCATCTTAAAATGTTCGTTTCAAAAAACAATCGCAGTTGCCGTCTAGTAGCTTTTGAATTTTTAGGGCATGAGAGCGAATGCTAAAAGTCTAATTCATATAATATTAATGCTTGATTCTGATGAGATTAATAGCTATAGTCATACAAGTGAGTTTCTTTCGTCAAACAATAACTCTCCTTTATACTTCTGGCTAACCTGATGATAAAAGCAGGGCTCTGTTGCCTTCTGTGAACAGGGCTCTCGTAAACTTCAGGGAAATTATATGCCTTGTTATTGGGTGAACCTCTGTAACTAATAGTGTCTGAAGGTTCAGTAAATGATGCTACATAATTGAGCTTTTACTTTGACCTGCATATTTCGTTACTATATGTTGTTGCATAGACTCACCACAACTTGTTTGTTTTTACATTTTATAGAACACAAGGGAAACTGCACATGCTATCAGAAAGTTGCCATTGGCCAAGGCGAAGAGGTACCTTGAGGATGTACTTGCCCACAAGCAGGCCATTCCCTTCCGTCGCTTCTGTGGTGGTGTTGGAAGAACCGCTCAGGCGAAGAATAGACATTCCAATGGCCAAGGTCGCTGGCCTGTCAAATCTGCCAAGTTTATTCTAGATTTGCTTAAGAATGCTGAGAGCAATGCTGAAGTATGTGTTTCCACTTTTTGTCTCTCCCTGAACTGGTGTTATAGTATTTTTCTTTCTCTTGCTAATAATTGTTTCTGCCTTTCAGGTTAAGGGTCTGGATGTTGATTTGCTCCACGTATCTCACGTCCAGGTGAACCAAGCTCAGAAGCAAAGGCGTCGCACCTACCGTGCTCATGGAAGAATCAACCGTATGTTATTGCTACAGTTTACTTAATATTTCTATGGAAGTTCATGCTTCAACATATTGCCTTACCTTTCTATTTCCATTCCATTTTTCTTTTTGGTTGGCAGCTTACATGTCTTCTCCTTGCCATATTGAGCTGATTTTGTCTGAAAAAGAAGAGGCTGTTAAGAAGGAGGTAATCAAACAGACTTCTTAACTACTTTTATGATGTAAAGAATTTATTGGGTAAACGTATTTCTTATTGTTTGTATTTCATTTACAGCCCGAGACTCAGCTGGCGACTGGCAAACCTAAGAAAGGTCAAGCTCTCCGTAGTGGTGCTTCCTCTTGATTGGCATGAGTATAAACTCTGTTGTGGGTTTTGCTATGCCATTTCTTTTTTGAAGTGAGTTTAATTATTGGTCATTATATAGAGATCTAAGGATTATTATTTAGATGTTTTGTGTGACATGGTTTATGTGGAACCTTTTCTAGCTTCAATTTTCTTCAAGTTGCAATCACATTCGGGTACTTGCTTTTATTTCTGATGAGATCTCTTGACGCCTTAATTTCCTTCTGCTGCTAAACTAACATTTAAGAAGCCTTCACCCCGATCTGAGTAAATGGTTAGGCCAGTGCTTTCGTCCTCTCGAACATTAAAATTGGTGGGTGATTCAACTAACATTTAAGTGCATAAACGGCGTTTTAAGCTGTTGAAAAGTCATTTGAAATGCATTCTTGCTTTATTTAACCATAGAATGTGCATTTGGGATAAGTGTCATTTATTAAAGTTTTGGTTCTGTTTGTTATTTTTTTTTTTTCCCTCACATACATACTGAGAAGGACGAGAATCCAAACAGGCAAATCCGAAATAATCGATCTTAGGTTATTTTTTACTTGAATTCTCTTCAATACGAAGGATGATTTCTTTGCGGTAGATAATCATAATTTGATTAACATGTTTTTTTTTTAATTAAAGATAGGCTGAGGAAGAAATATTAGACATAAAATTAACCAAATGAGTTAAAATTGGGAAGAATAATAGAAAAAGTATTTGTGTCTACAGAAACCTACTGCCTAAAACCAAAGCCAAGCTTATTGTCGTTCTGTTCAGAACTACTTGTCGTCTTATTAGACTGGGCTGGATAATTGTCAAGCCCAGTTCATTTAGTACGGTTTTCTAGTGATGGGCTAAAAAGCCCATTACCTATAAGGGCCGTCTTCCTCATCATCCCCTCTCATTCAGGTAGGAAAATTGTAAGGAATAGCTACCAGAAAAAGGGGAAAAAAAAAAAAAAAACCCACAATATGATGTGTGTGAAAAGGAAGGGAATAATTTTGTTTCGTTTAGTCCGCAAGTATATACTCATATTTTCGTCTAGACACGAACATTGGACAGAACTTGAAAGTTGAGAGATTGGTCACACTTTATAAAATCGAGTCCATAATATTTTTATAGCTAAAGTGATTACATATCTATAGTCAACTTGAGTATAACCCAACTAATTTAAGCATATACTCTTGACCTAGATATGTCAAAGACTTGAATCTCCCAACCCGACAACTCGAAAACACTAAATTAAAACAACCCTCAAAATAATTGCAGTGAGGTCACAGAAACCAGTCAAAGCAGAAGGAAGGCAAGTGATAGAACCTAAATGGTAAGTTTCCGTAGAGAAGTATAAAGCACTAGAGAAACTTCAGTGAAACCTATTTCTGTTCATCATGTGACCATCCAACAATGATAAACTCCTTAATTTTCCTGATAAGAATCATAAAGTAACACAGCAATTATCTTCCCTTTTGATAAGACTAATGGAATGCTGGTGAATTTATAATGGATTTAAATAGCTTTCAACCATATCACTACAGAACTCTAATTTCAAACACCCTATTACTAAAATAAGACTGTAAAAGCACAACATGCTAAATAACCCACAAAACAGGGAATATAGAGGCATAGCTCAGAAGAAAATTATCGAGACTCCCATTGAGAAGCATCCCACAGCTACCCAAGGACTCAAACGTTCACCTGATTCACAAACAAGAACATCATCCTGTCAGATAATAATGCATCATATAACTGCCAACAAAAACTAAGCCATCCTAATTGACATATGGTTAACTAATATGGACAACAACAGCTGCTGATCACTACATATCTAACAGGCCGACACAATACTGATAGTTCTTTTAATATGAAGAAACTGTACTTATTTTGTAGTTCAAGCCCTTAACTTTGTAGGAAATCATCAGATAAGGAAAGAAGATGCATTTGGGAAACATTGAACCCTGTGCCTGAACAGGTTTCAAGCTCCCAAAGTAGCCTTATGATTGTTTGTTGAGTCATTTCTAAGATATTTTGTTGACAGTTTGAGAGAAAAGGAAGGTAAGTGATCATATTATAGAGTACAATTGTTAAAATCAGAAATGTGGGTCCATAAAGAAACGAATGATGGAATAAACAAAGAGGAGAGAATAAAGAAAGAGTTCTCATGACTTGTTCCAGCAAACAATTCATGGTTAAGAGAAACTACGCAAATTTAACCAAGAAGCCTACCTATTCTGGCTGCTTTCCAAAAGAAGCCACGAAACCTGTTGGAAGAGCAACTCGATTAAAAATGATATAGCATTTATAATGTACACGTACTTTGAAAATAAGAGGCAATGATTTTGCATAGCAAGAACAAACATGTCAATGCTAATGTAAGGCTCCTGCGAGTAGATATCGTCTGCTTTGGCCCGTTACGAATCGCCGTCAGCCTCACAGTTTTAAAACGCGTCTGTTAGGGAGAGGTTTCCACACCCTTATAAACAATGTTTCGTTTTCTTCTCCAACCGATGTGGGATTTCATAATCCAACCCCCTTAGGAGCCCAGCGTCCTCGTTGGCACACCGCTCGATGTTTGGTTCTGATACCATTTGTAATAGCACAAGACCACCGTTAGGAGATATTGTCCGCTTTGGCCCGTTATGTATCGCCGTCAACCTCACGGTTTTAAAATTCATCTGTTAGGGAGATGCTTCCACACCCTTATAAGGAATAGTTGGTTCCCCTCCTCAGTTGATGTGGGATCTCATAGATAAATACTCCACCATGATAAACCTAACATAAATCGACGCCTATCATATTGAATGGGAAATTCAAAAATAGGAAGTTAGGGAAAGAATGGGGGATCTCTCCAAGCATCAAATTAACTCCAATCATGTAGGAAGTAGAAAAGGAGAGCCGCAACAAGAAATGTAAAAATCAAAACACTTCCCAACATGTTTGAGACCTGATTTTCTATGTTTATCTGAATGCAGTAAATAGCATAAGAAACCTGAAGGAAATACCCATTTCTTTGCTCAAGAATAGCAGGAAAATGCATCTTCACATAAGTACAGGTACAAATTACCAATAGGATTACTGTCAGAAAGGAATGAAAATTGAACAGAGCCGACTGCAAAACCAAAGATAACCATGTTAGTGATTAGAAGCTTCTCTATTTATCCAAGCTATGAAAATGTCCATAGTCCAAACACCAAAGACAAGGATCCATTACCATATTCGAAGGGACAGGTATTATCCACGCTAATCAATCCTCTCCTTCAATTCAATCTAGAAATAGGTTAAGAACAAGTTAGCAACGGACCCAAAGAAGTTCATCCTGCACACATCCCTAGTTTTTCATGGTTACAACCTAAATCTCGCATTGATAACAACCCCTTCTGATAATTCGAAAATTTCACAGCAAATAAAATCGAATCTTCGGTTTCTACGAAAGGCAAAACACGAATCTGAAGTTTCCAGTAAGATTTTGGAACACAACAGAGCTAAATTAAGCTATCGCTGTGTATAATCTATTACAAAATGTAGTTCCTGATACATATTAAAATCTTGAAGAATCAACCTCGAAATCGAATTACAAATCGAAGGATAGATAACAATGTTAAAACATTAACTTTCTTCAGCGAAGATTCGAATATTTCGATAACGCTAGAAGCAATCGGTTCAACCCCATTAATCCCCAAACCTAAATTCAGCTAAATCTTCTAAGGTGAAATCCCATAACGTCGAAAACACTGATCCAAGAAAAACACAGAATACTTGCAACTGATCCAAGAAAAACACAGAATACTTGCAACTGATCCAAGAAAAACACAGAATACTTACCGAAGGTGCATAAACGGAGATAAGAGAAGAAAGAGCGGGTCCGATTCAACTCGCCGGGGCGTGTCAGATCGCAATTCTTCGAAAACGAAAGGAGCGGAGGAAAGGAACTTCTTGACCTCCCAAGAGCCGAGGATTTGAGCGGCGGCGAGCAAAAGCGAACAACTTCTGACTGAGAATTAACCTCCGATTGTCAAAAATAGATGATTCCGCGGTTCAGACGACTCCCAACGATGACCAATTTTTTTAAAAAAATAATTTATTTATATTTATAATTTTTATACTTTCACTTTTACTTTTACCCCCGACATTTTCTGAATTTAATTTTCATTTAATCTTTTCTCTAATTTTATATGGTTTAATTTTGCCCATAAATTTAAATATTTATACGCTTTTATCCTAATTTTTGCTTTTGTTGTTAATAATTCATTAATTAAAAATAGATATCTTTTGTTGTTAATTATTTTTCATTAATTAATAAAAAAAATAGAGGACAAATGAAGTTAAGTTCTTTTGAACCGTAATAGAATCTTTTTACTTAAGATGGTCGGAATGTGACTAAAAAGGTCTTTTAAATTTTGCTTTTGTTGTTAATTATTCGAACGAATATACGAACGAATATACGAACTCATCTCGGAGCTTGCGGGCTAGAAAGTAACTAGAACGTGACTCTTCCCATCTCAAACCCATTTGAAGGCTATGTCTCTCTTGGTGTTATAGCCACTTCTAAGTTCAAGATTTTTCCTCTTTAAATGGAAACTATATTAGAATATAACCATTTCAATGCCTAGAAAACGTCCTTCCTTTACCAGATATTTCCTTCTTCAGATTACTTGCTTAGGAAGTAACCGGCTGCAATTACTCTTGAACAGTCAAAAAAAAAAAAGGAAGAAGAAAAGATTAATGCTGCTACACAAAAGATACTAGTACTGCTATATATATATATATGTGTGTATATATATATATATATAGATTCAGTTTCAGTTGTTCTAACACAAAAGATACGTCGCTCACTAAACTGGAAAGAACAAGCATGATAAGCAAGGGATCTAAAGTTTAGGAAACACAAACAATGTTCTTCTCCATGCAGCTATTATAACTCGACTAACAGGACAGAATGATCCAATCAAACATATTAAGGATCCCATAATACTTTAAAAACTCCACATCTAAAGCAATCTCTTTAGAATCAGTTCCCCCCAGAAGCACAAATGAATAGGGAGAGAGAATGTCTCAACCTGCTCATGTCTGTCTATATGGGATCGTCAAGCAGCGGTTACTTCAGCCATTTCCTGATCCACTGTAGTTGGCGTCACGGGATAGTAGTTGTAATGAAGTTCTCCTACATCGTCGCCAGATAGCTTTTTCCATCCATTTGGTCCCACGTAATAAACTGATCAATGGGATTCAAGTCACAGAGTCAAGAGGAAAACATTTGGACAAGCACATAAACGAGCAATACGAGAGGGTTACCGCTAGCAACTCCACCACTCGCTCCATCTCGGAAAGTTGCATGATAAATAGCTCGTCTAGCCAGTTCAGCAGCTTCTTCTACAGACAAGTCGTACCGATATCTGCCATGAATTAATATACATAAATTAAAGTAGATGAAAAGATGAGGAAAGAATACAGAGGAATTTTTCACCACATCAATTAACATTTCTTAATTTTCGAAACAAAATGTTTCTTACCAAATATTGGTAGCTTGATTTTTTCTTTTTTTAAACATCTATAAGACTACAAATTTAGTTTAATATTTTATGTAGGTGGCCGCCTGTTAGGTACCCAGAAAATACAAGAAACCACTAAATTAACTATATTGCAATATCAATGAAGAAATTACAATATCCCTTTCAAGAGGGCTATCTCTCTCCCGAAGTCTCACAATGGACAATCCATCAAAATGATCACCTCCAAAACCCTAACTCCATCTATTTGTAACCAACACTCCCTAGCTAATTAGCACCATATCCCTTATTAATATCCTACTAATATTTCCATTATATACCCTTACTAGTACTCTCACAAATTTAATTTATTGCCTTAAGCAGATGATCATCATGGAGTTATCTTTCCTTACTTTTGATATATTCTTTTTCATGTGCAAAAACGTTACCAGGCATTCATGCCAAATCATGGCGGTTCAAAAACTACCTTGTTTATCCTATAACATATTATAAGAAGTTCATAAGAAAATTACTGGATTGAGAAATATTGAAGACAGACCGATAACGGAGGATCACACTTACCCATTATCCAAGACACCGTAGGCATAAGGAGAACCAGATCCAACAGAAAATCTTGTTCCCTTGAGCCTTCCTCCCTCACTGTCTACGTAATATAGACCAGGACCCTAAAATGCACAGATCAAGGTAAGTTATAGATCATAAGAGAATAAATTAACATCTTAACAATTTTCATCATAAAATAAGAAAATAAAATAAATAAATATGTTATTACTGTTTCATCCCATCCAGCAATCATAGTCCCAACAGAGAGACCCATTCCACGATAGGAGTACAGAATATTGGCCAGTAATTTTGATGCTCCGGCAACTGAAATCCGACGCTTATTGGCTAGTTCATGTCGGCGGCACTAAATCATGTAAAATATTATGATCAGCTAACCACAAGGGAAAAATCCAAAATATCATCTTGGCGAGGAACAATTGGTTGAATAGAGAAGAATAAATATCTGACTGTGCACATACAAGTTGAGTTGTTGAGACTGGAAAACTCTAAAAGTAGAGGTAATGAGATCTTAACGCTTGTAATACCAGGTAACCCAATCTAAATAAAAGCTGATAGTCCTACAAGGGCCAATTACCTTGACACCGAGATTTCTATGCCAAAACTGACAATCAGCAGCACCTCCAGCCATTGTACCAAGCATGTAAGGATTAATTTCAATAATTTTCTTCACAGATTGCGATGCTGAACAAATTTAATAGCAAATACTTAGTTCAAAACGAAGTAAGCTACTCAAATAACAACATAATAACTAATAATACAATGGAGGATAGGGGGAGGGAGGACAACCGGCACAAATCTAAACAGGAAAATGTGAATAAACACATCATGCTGCAAAGAACATTCTCTCTATAGGGCACAGTCCCAAACTTCTAATCGTTAAAAGGGATAGAATACCTTAAAATAGCAATTTATAGTTCATGGTATACAAACCAGACCACATCTAGAAATTAAATCTACAATTTATTTGAAGAACACGTATTAAAGTTAGCATACATATGTAGCCTCCCATGCTGGCACGCGAATCAGCAGCAACCATGACTCCTTCCTTAAAAATGAAAGCCAGTGTGGTTGTTCCTTTTGCTGGCTTTACCATTTGAATGGCATCTTTTTGAAAGCCGTCAAACTGAAACACGGAGAATATCAAAATCAGAAAAAGCAATTCTACAGAACAATATGCAGCCAGAAAGCCGTATGAGAAATGATTTACAAATTACGTCACTGGAATTAGGGATCTCAAAGGATGGAGCAGCTGCAAACCCTTCCATGAACTCCATCTTTGGCCCAAACAGCGGAGCTGTTGTTTGAAGACCACTGGTATCGAGCTTCATGTTTCAACTTCTGTCAATGACCGAATAAAGCTTCAGTACACAGTTCATATTACGAAGAAGTTATCCACACAACAAGATCAAAGTTTGAGAAAAAGAAAAATCCCGAGAAACACCCACATCAATGCTGATGACCGAGCAAGTACTACTTCACTCAATTAACTAACTAGAACACCCAGCCTTGAAAAATGATCAAAACACGTCCAAAAACCAATATACGCACTAATCGATTTGACATCAAGCGACACTAAAAGCTCCAAGACCATAAAAAATAGAATCATACAATCGACATCTTAGTACCTCTCCTCGATTTCTATCAGAAATCATAAATAGATCCGTAAATTCATCAAAATGCACGCAACTTTCATATAAGAAAACATGTCGATACCAAAACCCTAACGATAGACACTGATTCCAATCTACAATATATCGTGAATCCGCATATGAATTCGAAGAACGAAAAAGAACAAAATCTTACTTCTTCAACTTTACCTTGAGCTAGACTCTAGAGCAATATGAGAACAAAAAACAGGAACTACAACCAAACGGAGATACACAGCCTCGAAGGAAATGATCGGAATGGAGGGAAAAATGAGGACGTTTACAGGGAAATCGAAGGTCAGTTTCTTGTCCTCCAGGAAACCATCGGGTATAATGGGCCTGGGCCACATTTTTATTGCGGCTTTCGATACTGGCAAGTTTGGGCCTTAGGGCCTGCTGGCCCAAGTTTGACCAAACCTCAATCTAATTTGATCTATTAGCAAAAATTAAGGTTAAATTAGATAATTGATTATTATGGTTTGCATATAGTTTAAATTTTTTATTTAGATACCAATATTTTATATTTCGTTTACTAATATTTTAATAAAAAAAATTATTTTTTTCAATAATACAAAAAAAATAGCTAAAAAAATTGATCTTAATTAGGTCGAGATTGTATGTCATTTTAAAAATCAAATTTAATTCTATGGTTTCCATTTTTTTTCCTCTTTTATTATTTGGTCTTACGATTTTTAATTGAGAATATATATTGGTAAAATACACTTTTAGTATTTAATTTTTGACATCTCAAAAGCAAAACACTTTAATATTTCAAACTTCGAAAATATTTATAAATGATCTCCCGACCATTATGTCAGCCAAGCAATCAATTCTTATATCTTAAAAATTAAAATAAAAATTCAGCGACAAAAATCTCAATCAAAGGGGGTCAACAACTTCAAGAGCCACATAAGAATAAGAACATGGAAAAAGAAAGAAAATGGAGAGAAACGCCAGCATCAACCGCAACTTTGATAGCACATATCCAAGAATTGATGACTAGTCAAAACCCCTTGTGTATATTTTGAGGCATTTTGAAACGAACATCCGACTATAGACAACATGCCCGAGACAATCACATATCCCGAATAGAAAGAATTGACGACCAGTCAAATCCCCTTGTATACATTTTGAGGCGACCATAGATAACATGCCCGAGACAAGTACAACAAGCCTTAAATATAACTATGTCCATTACACAACCATCTTTTAAATGAATTAAAAAGAAAAAAATAATGGAAAAAACAAAAACTGAAACCCATCTATATTTTAAATGAAATATACTAAAGGACATGATAGTTCCTCTAAATTTTGTGAAGACTAGATCACTGACAAGCATCAAACAATC